AGATTCTCTTAGGGACTGCACTTTAAGATACCTCCCTGGGAACCCCCCCAGCCCAGGCAGTCTCCCCTCCAGGAATGGGGAGCGTGAGGCAGGCTCCAGATTCCTGATTCTGACTGCAAGGACTACTCAAAGTCCTACCACATGGTGCCTCTTCAGAAGTTCCTCCTTTTTTCTGACCTCAGACTGCTGAAAAATTAGACCTAAAATCACACAAAAAGGAAGTTCATCTCTGTTACCTGGTTTGATATAAAAAAATGTCTGAAAACAGGAAAAGACGACAAAAAAACCTCTCCCTCGAGGCATGTAGGTGGAGCTAAGAGTCTCTCAACAAAAAGGAGGGCACCACTAGGAGCTGACAGCCACTGGTCAATCAGTCACCAAACAATGGACAGTACTCAATGCAGGCCAGTTCTGTAGAAGGAAGGCAACAGGTCCAGCCCCCGTGGAGTGCCGCGAACCACACCTCCAGCTGTTCAGCCAGAGGTTAGAGGATGAAGAGAATGAACATCTTCTAGTCGATCTGAATTCATTTTAAGACTGCAGGAAAGTACAGGAGTCCTAACTGTAGGCACCTCCATGAGTAATGCAGGAACCAAATGTCCTCTGGGCTACCCCTGCATTGATGCCAACAGAATCTGCTTCTTATTTAGGTTTTTCACAGAGAGGAGATGGAACCCAGGGCCTCATAAATGGCGAGTAAGCAATCTATCACTAAGCTACAACCTGGTCCCTTTTATTTTTATTTTGAGACAGGATTTTACTAAGTTTCCTAGGCTCAAACTTGCAATCCTCCTGCCTCAGCCTTCTGGGCCACTGGGATTACAGGTGTGTGCCCCATCCAGAGAGCAGACTCTACTTCTAAGTAACGGCAACAAGGCAACCTCAATTTAGACACTACCACCTCTGTCTCAAGAGGAATCATGGCCAGGGCAGCAATGACCCAAGATGAGGTTGCATCAGCTCCATTGCCACACTGGTGTCTCACACCTGGAAAATATTTAACTTGGCTACAGGAGTTAGGGGGTAAAGAAGAAGAGCCAAAGCGCCATCGGAATAGGGTGAACAAGATCAGGGTTCTAAGAAGCGCATGGGCTGGTCTGACCAGCTGTAGAGTGGACACTGTCCAGACTACTATGGAGTGGCGGGCACGTGTGCAGCCAGGAAGGAGTGAAGTCATTAGGCTAACTTGGGAAGAGCAAGCAGGGCTCCTACAGTGAAGAAGGCGTTCCTAGAGGGACAGCACTGCCAGAGCAAGGAGACGTGAGGAAACCAAGAAGTTCTGGGAACTACTAACGTGCTCACAATGACAGGCTGGAGGGGACCCATGGGGCAGCAGGACTTGGGGCTGACAAAGTATGTGGGAAACCTCGTCATAAAGGGTCATGAAAGCCTGGCTTACCAGGTGACAAGGGAGATGCTCAAGGTCCCACACCAGAGGACAATGCAACAGGACCAGGTTGCATTCGGAAAGGCCTTATCAGGGTCTCTTGAGCAGGTACTAGGACAAGACTGGCATCAGGGACACCAGTTCAACTCTCAGCTAGCCACTTGACCTAAAGAAGACATCAACCGAGCCAGGCACCCTGCAAAATAGAATGTGTGAGGTATTCACGAGTGAGCTGGTGACCAACTAGTAGGGAGAATGAGGGCAAGAGATACACCCCAAAACTCTCTGGGATTTAGGAAAAAGGGCAAGGTTAGAAATTCTTACTAGGGAATGATTTCCAAGTACTGGGTAGATAAACCCACAGAGAAATGAAGGAACTCATGAAGAGTGACCATATGGGGACTCAAAGTTTAGGTACCCAGCTTTTCAGGGAGAGATGGAGGTGTTTTCCTAATACTAAACATATTGATGACACTAAAATAATTCAAATTGAAATAATGTCCATTAAAAGGAACCCAGGTTACCCTTAAGAGGGGAATTTTGTGACCCTTTTCAGAAATCAGATCCCAGAATTCTAGGAGATAAGAATTCCTCCTGGGCTGGGATTGTGGCTCAGTGATACAGCGCTTGCCTAGCATATGTAAGACACTGGGTTTGATTCTTAGCACCACATAAAAATAAATAAATAAAATAAAGATGTTGTGTCCATCTACAACTAAAAATAAAAATAATTTTAAAAAATAGTAAAGAAGAAATTTAAAAAAAAATATTCTTTCTAACCATAAAATCTCTAACAACGTATGGTTAAGAATCCAATTAGACAGCTGGGGTATGGCTCAGTGGTAGAGTGCTCACCTGGCACATGTGAGGCACTAGGTTCGATCCTCAGTACCACATAAAAATAAATAAAATAGACCCAGAATATTCAAAGCAATCCTTAGCAAGAAGAGTAAAGCACTTGGCATCACTAAAACCAGACCTTAAACTATACTACAGAGCAATATTAACAAAACCAGCATAGTACTGGGAAACAAAATAGACTTTAGACCAATGGTACAGAGGAGAGGACAGAGAGACAAACCCACATAAATACAGTTATCTCATACTAGACAAAGGCACCAAAACCATATACTGAAGAAAAGATAGGTTCTTCAATAAATAGTGCTTAGAAAACTGGAAATCCATATGCAGCAAAATAAAATCAAGCCCCTATCTCTCACCATGCACAAAATGCAACTCAAAGTGGATCAAGGACCTAGGAATTAGACCAGAGAACCTGCACCTAATAGAAGAAAAAATAGGTCCAAATCTTCACCATGTAAGATTAGGCCCCAACTTCCTTAACAAGACTCGTATAGCGCAAGAAATAAAATCAAGAATCAATAAGTGGGATAGATTCAAACTAAAAAGCTTCTTCTCAGCAAAAGAAACAATCTGAGAGCCTATAGAATGGGAGCAAATTTTTACCCCTGACACATCAGATAGAGCACTAATCTCCAGGATATATAAATAACTCAAAAAACTTAACACCAAAAAAATAATAATAATAACCCAATCAATAAATGGGGAAAGGAACTGAAAAAACACTTCTCAGAAGATGATATACAATCAATCAGCAAATATATGAAAAATGTTCATCATCTCTAGCAATCAGAGAAATGCAAATCAAAACTAAGATTTCACCTCACTCCAGGCAGAATGGCAGCTATTAAGAATACAAATGGGCTGGGGCTGTAGCTGAGTGGCAAGAGCGCTTGCCTAGCACATGTGAGGCACTGGGTTCTATCCTCTGCTGCGCTAAAATAAACAAATAAAATAAAGGCTTTCTGACCATGTATAATTACCAAAAAAACAAAAATTAAAGAAAAAAAATACAAACAGGGGCTGGGGCTGTAGCCCAGTGGTACAGTGCCTGCCTCTCACGTGTGAGGCCCTGGGTTCTCGATCCTCAGTACCACATTTAAAAAGGAAATAAATAAAGATATTGTGTCCATCTACAACTAAAAAAATATTTTAAAAAAGAATACAAACAACAATAAGTGTTGGCGAGGATGTGGGGGAAAAGGCACACTCATACATTGCTGGTGAGACTGCAAACTGGTGCAGCCAATCTGGAATGCAGTATGGAGATTCCTTGGAAAACTTGTTGGAGTGGGACCACCATTTGACCCAGCTATTCCACTCCTCAGTCTATACCCAAAGGACTTAAAAACAGCATACTACAGGGACACAGCCACATCAATGTTTATAGCAGCACAAGTCACAATAGCTAAATTGTGGAACCAACCTAGATGCCCTTCAATAGATGAATGGATAAAGAAACTTGGTATATATACACAGTGGAATATTACTCAGCATTAAAAGAGAATAAAATCATGGCATTTGCAGGTAAACGGATGGAGTTGGAGAATATCATGCTAAATACAATAAGCCAATCCCCAAAAAACAAAGGCCAAATGTTTTCTCTGATATGTGAATGCTGATCCATAATGGGGATGAGGGTGGGAAGCATGGGAGGAATGGAGGAACTTTGGATGGGGCAAAGGGGAGGAAGGGAAGGGAGGGGCCATGGGAGTAGGAAAGATGGTGGAATGAGATGGACATCCTTACTCCTAGGTACATGTATAAAGACATGAATGGTATGACTCTACTTTGGGTACAACCAGAGAAAAGAAAAATTGTGCTCTATATGTATACAATGAATTGAAATGCATTCTGCTGTCATGTATAACAAATTAGAATAAATAAATAAAATAAATAAATAAAATAAATTAATTAAAAATATGGGGCTGGGGTTGTAGCTCAGTGAAGTGTTTGCCTGGTATGTGTGAGTTCAATCCTCAGCACCACATAAAAATAAATAAATTAAACAAAGGTATTGTGTTCATCTACAACTAAAAAAGGTAATAATAAATAAAAAATAAATAAATAAATATATTGTGTCCAGCTACAACTAAAAATATAGAAAATAATAAAAAAAGAATCCAATTAGAACCGACCAGCACGGGCCAAAGGGACCTAGAGTTGCCATGGCAGCAGGCACTTGAGTCTAATGTCATCCTTATTGTCAGGAAAAAGTTAAGAGGTAGACCTGAGTGGGACTCTGGAAAGTTCTCTGGAGTGCAGGAGAAGCACGTGGCTCCTGTTCTTTCTGAAAGGACTCACTCTCTCCCTTGAGAATGTTCCCTTTCCCTTCTCCTGTCCCCTAAATAAACTCATGGCTATTACTCTGAGTGATGTGGCTAAAACCTTTGACTTGATCACAAGAATTGGGGCCTCCAGCCCTGTGACATTATCAGCACTGTTAAAACATCCCAGTTGGGATGAATTTTCTCATGCTTATAGGAGCACCACTACCATTATCAGATCAATTTAGTAAAAAGCAAACTTCTGCTTCAGAAAGACATAACGAGATTGACGAGAAACTAAAAAGAAAAGCAAACATGTCCCTGACTGCCCACATTTCCCACAGTGTGAGGGATCACCCCTGAGAACTGCTGTCCAGGGACTCCCAGCTGCAACTTGTCCAGCCCATAGCAGCCAGTGTGAAGCCCAAGGCCTGCAGGGAATAGCTTGAAAGGTCGCAAGCCCCATTATATTGCACCACTCTTACCTGTACACAATTCTTTCCTTCTGTAAATCTTCCAAGCCACAGCACACCTCTGCAGCATAGAAAACAGCTCTTTGCTCATCAAAGCCAGGACTTCCCAGGTTGTAAATGTGGAATTTCAGATCCCCTCCATTCATGATGGTTAGCACCAAACACAAGGTATCTCTGGTTTCATAAGTGTAGGCTAAACCAACCTAAAGACACAGCATCATAAAAAAATAAAACACAAAAAGTCTCCTGATTCATTGGTGACTTGGTCTAATTGCTAACAGTATTCCAATTATCCATGCTGGATTTGTAACTAGAACACCAAGCTACTACATGCTTTAGAGAAATGGGTCCCCTACATAATGTGCCTCTCAGAGGTCTTACTGCAGCAGCTCTGCGTTGAGAGGAGAGAACTTTCTAGGTGTGAATAAGGAAATGGCAAAGTTTTAAAGACACCTGTATTGTGTGCTGGGCTCTCCTGGCCTCAGCACCAGCATGGGAATGTCTGCAGTGCTGCATTCAGCATGCAAGTGACCCTCCATGCAAGAGCGATCCCACAGCTCCCACCCTTCCCACATTCTGTGTTGCTGATCTTTGTAATCTGTGTAAGGCTGGTGGAAAATATTTCTAAGTTCCTTGGGAAGGCCCAACACTACAGAAACTAAATTGTTAAGTGGAATAAACTGTGACTATTACTATGTCCCCTTCATAAAACTAGATTTGGGATTTCTATGTTTCAAGGGAGTTATGATAGGAGGCAGACATGAGCAGAGGGAACAGAACACATGGTTAAGGGAATAATTCTATAAGATGCACCCACTGTGTTGATGCCCACATGCTTTCTTTTCAAAGAAGCAATTCATCTACAGCTCTGCCAGGCTTAAGTGGACAGGTTTGTCACATCCCTCAGCAAATTACCTGTTATCTGCAGGAGAAATGCAGACCAGAAATAATGTTGATAAGAGGAACCCAAGTTACTCTGAAGGGGGAGACTTCTTTTCAGAGATCAGATCCCAAAACTCAGGGAGATAAGGATAATTCCTTCTAACCGTAAAGCCTATAAGACTGTATGGTTAAGAATCCAATTAGAAATGGTCAGGCAATGGGCCCCAATTAAGGTCTTATACAAAGAAAGAGACTATGCCAGGAGGCTAACCCTTAAAAATATTAATGGGCACCAAGGATTTAGGATAAAGAAAGAGAAAACTGAATCTTAAAGGAAACATCCACAAGCCATTGAGATGTAGAAAGCACAGTTCTCCTTATAAAATGAGGAAAATACTCAGACATAGGTAAAACTGGCACAAAATTGTGCAGCTCTACCCTGGATCCACTTCCAGTGTGGCCCCTGAGACAGCCTCTGTAAGTACTGGACCCCCAAGTCCAAGTCAGGTTGCTTCTCACTCTCCAGACAGCCCACGTTCTCCCTTGAATGTGTGTCTACCTTACTAAATAAACCTGTCTATGACTTTGGCTCGTGCTGAAACTTTTTTCCAACAAGAAGCACAATGGTCCCAAATTGAGCTCCCCCTCTCCTCTGGGAACTCCTGGGACCCTTCTCTGTTATGAAGCTCACCTGCGGGAACACTCCGACCAACTCCTTTGTTCTAGAAAGGCAGGGGAAAATAGTAGGAGTGAACCCCAGTGGGACTTAGAGGAAGAATTAAAACCCAGGCTAAAGGATACAGCCAATAGCCTTGATACTTTTTCGAGACAAGAACCCAGAAGGAGGGCTGGGGTTGTGGCTCAGCCGTAGAGCGCTCGCCTCACATGTGCGGGACCCTGGGTTCTACCCTCAGCACCACATAAAAATAAATAAGTGAAATAAAGGTGTTGTGTCCGACTACAACTAAAAAAAAAAAAAAAAAAAGAACCCAGAAGGAAATTGGCAAAGTGGGGAATCTAGTCTCTGGTTTCAGTTACACATGTTTAAAGCGATTCAAGGATAAGCCCATTTTATTAAAGATTTTCATGTAATTGCATATGAAACTGACACACTACACATACCAACGCACATGTGCACTAAATTCAGATGTGGGCTGTGAAGGAATTTGTCCCTCATTGTAAATCAGCTGACTCCAGTGCTAAGAAACAAATGACTTTGAGGAAATAACTCAATATTCTAAGTCATTTTAGAAATTATTTTTCAAACTCTCCCTTTTCACTAGCCTGTGTACTGCAGTAGAGGCTGCAGGAATGTGTCAGCAGGTGGAGGAAACTCGGCTTGGACAGGACGCTGCACCACACAATGACAGCACAGCTGGGGCCTGGAGGCACCTGATTCCAGCCTGCCCTGATCAAGCCGTACCTGCAACCATGAAGGTGGAACTCTGGGCTTGGTGTGACTGGGGTACACTAGTGAGGGTCTAGTGATAAACACACAAGGAATCATAAAAGGCAAAGAGATGGAAGAGAGACTGAGCCACAGAGAAGGCCCAGATGGGAGAAGGGCTAAAGAGTATTTTCAGCACATTCACATCACTATGCCCTACGTGGACCAGAGCAGCTAGCTGGAGGCCATCCAAGGAAGGAGAGGGCATGCCACCAGAAAATGCCAAGGTAACTGAGGGGACAGTAAACCTCTATACAAAAGTGAAGAGGGGCTGAGAGTAGAATGGATGGCAGCAACAGAAAGAAAGACACAGCTGGCAGCAGGATCAACACCGCTCTGCGCAAGATCTGCATAAGGAAGACAAACTCTCCCTTCCACTGGACAGCAAGCCCCAAATAAACTCCACTGAGAAGCACAGTGCATGATCCAGGGCTCCAACAGGAGCTTACAGCCTACAATATATGGTACAGGGTTGAGAAACAGTAAGTCGGGTGGCTCGTTTTCAGAATGTAGCATTTAGCCTTAACTGGAACATAAGCTCCAGTTGCAGCCATTTTAATTAAGATTAGCCAGTCAATAGATTGCAACCTTGAGCTCCTCCGATCAGGGCAAAAAGGGGGATAAGAGAGGTGGACTGCCCACCAGGTGGGCTTGCAGCCAGGTTCAGTGGCATACCCTTCCTTCCGTTAGCCTTGGCAGTGAGTGTCTGACCTCTTGTGGCAACTCAGTTCTCTATCGCTCCCTAAAGAAGGTACTTACTACAAATCGACTGTGCACTTTTTCTAGGATTCTTTTTTCATTCAGAGCCATAGCTTCATCTTTCCTCTTTTTTATTCTTTTTTTTTCTAGCTTTTTGCAGGCATACATTTTTCCTGTAGCTCGTACTTGACAGGCACAAACCTAGTTTAAACAAAGAAAAGGTTTATATACAACTGTGATTCTTGGGGCGCACACGCACACACACACACACACACAAAACCTGTTTATTCTGTGATAACCCTCTCTAGTAAAGTTCAGAAACAAAACCTGAGAAGCCAAGGGCATTTCAGTTGTGAACATATCACATGGTTCCTTTTGTTTTTGCAGTATTGGGACAGAACCAGGGACTCCCTCACACCAGGCAAACACTACACTGGGCCACATCCCCATGACTTGGATGTTTTTATCTTGTGACTGGTCTTATTTGCCCAGGCTGGCCTTGCACTTGTGTAGCAGGGATTATAAGTGCATACCAGCATGCCCTAGTAATGGGTAACTACCCTCTGCCTGGATGCAAAATAAATTATCTTAATAATGTCATCAGAATTAGTGCCCTGGAAAGGGAGAGTTCCCCTCCCCTTTCTAGTCAGCCAGTCTTCAGGAAACTTGATCGGCATCTTCCACTCCTATCTTTTGAACTGGAAATGACTTTCCCTAAGATCTAACTACTTCCCTCTGAGGTGCAAATGCCTTTGAAGTGTAAACCCTAGTGGAGGCTCCAGGCCCAAGGCTAGAGAGGCCTAGTACAAACAGACAGTTCTTCTTTTTATCACACTCTTGCTTCCCACTTGAAACCCACGCACAACCACATTTAGACTAGAAAATTTATGACACTAGATAGCCTATAAATGTTGTGAAAAACTGGTGATGGATGCTTAGAATTTGGAGTCTGATCTCTGGATGATCTTCTGGAATGAAGTTTGAGTTGTCTTCCAGCTGCTTGCCGCTTCTTGAACAGTCTGTTTCCTGCAACAGCCTAAGATACACTGAGCTTTCAAATTGGTTCTTCATCTCTTATCCTAGCTTCTCATGGTGAGAGGCTGCCCAGTCAAGTGAATGTAATGCCATGTTTTTATATGGAACTTGTTCATGTGTGGCATGTTAATCTGTTTAGTTTAAATATGTCCCCATATATCTATTTTGCTTTTTATATTTTAAAATACAAAATTAAGAAGATTCTTGGGCTGGGGATGTGGCTCAAGCGGTAGTGCGCTCGCCTGGCATGCGTGCGGCCCGGGTTCGATCCTCAGCACCACATACAAACAAAGATGTTGTGTCCACCAAAAACTAAAAAAATAAATATTAAAAAATTCTCTCTCTCTATCTCTTTTTTTTTTTTTTTTAAAAAAAAGAAGATTCTTAACTTTTTTAAGTTAAGAAGTTCAAGGCTGGGGGCAGGGGTGGTGGCTCAGTGGTAGAGTGCTCACCTAGCATGCATGAAGCACATAAAAACAAACTAATGTATCCACCTAAAACTAAAGATACATAAATAAATATTTATTTATTAAAAAAAAGAAGTTCAAGGCTGGAGCTGGGCATGGTAGTGCACACCTGTAAACTAGCTACCTGGGAGGCTGAGGCAGAAGTATCACAAGTTCAAGGTTAGCCTTGACAATGTAATGAAACTCTCCATCAAAATAAAATTTAAAAAGGGCTGAGATGTAGCTCAGTGGTGGAGTACTTGCCTAACCTGTGCTGGGCTCTGGGTTCAATCACCAGTACTACCAAAAAATATTCAAGGTGATTCCAGCTACTTGTGAAGCTGAGGTAGGAGGATTGCTCAAGCCCAGGAGTTCAAGGCCAGCCTGGTCAACATAGCAAGACTCCATCTCAAGAACAAAAACAAAAAATGTTCAATAAGGAAATGTGTTTCACAGAATTCAGATTTTCATACCTTTATTCTATTTATTTGGTTCTTAAAGTAATATTTATGAATTATCTTAACTTTATATCACGAATATTTTACAACAAAATCAGCTTCTGCTTATCAACATACTATAGCCATTGTATGTCCTCTTGACTCCCAAGCACTGCACACCACAGACACACATGTACCACACAGACACACTCACACCGCATGTACCCACCGCAGAGATTACCACAAAAGCAAATATAAGACATGATATAATTTTATCCGACATTGTGGAAAGCGCTTGAAGTCATAAGGACAGTGATATTAGCAACTTGCCTGACCTCCAAGATAAATATCACTAACATTGCTGTGCAGGCTTCCAGGTTCATCTCTGTACATGTATATCCAAGGATATGGACTTCACTCCCTACTTCCCTGCCTTTTAGGACAGAACTGGCTCATGTTATGGAATAAATAATAACACCCTTTTTATATCTAACAGTGTTACCATTTTCCCATCATTAAATATTCTCCAAGAATAAGACTATTCCAAATTTCGTTTAACAATTTTCCTACGATTGTCTCGGCATGTAAGTCTCTGCATATCCTTAGAAGTAATGTTAGATAAATCTCTCCAGGTGGAATTGCCAGATCAGAGGAAGGGAAGGGAAAGCATATCAGAGCATCGGGCACTGTTGACAAAAGTCACAGTGCTCTTCTGCTCCTCTCAACAACTCAGCTGTCACTCCCCCTCAGAGGATGATGTGAAGGCAGAGAGCAAGACCACAGAGCTGACCGTGATAGGTCAGGACCTTGACCCCAGGCCATGTAGCTCTGCAGTCTGTGCTCTTTCCCCTGCACCGTGCTACCTCCCAAACCAACTGTTGGCCCAATTCCTTTCCACTGTGCCTGCCTCAGGACCCACAGATTGATTGAAAGAACTTAAAACACACGCAAGAGCTGACAGCAGAGCGCAGGCCTGGGATCCCATGGCTCAGGAGGCCGAGGCAGGAGGATCACATGTTCAAAACCAGGCTCAGCAAAAGTGAGGTGCTCAATGAGATTCTCTCTCTAAATAAAATACAAAAAAGGGCTGAGATGTGGCTCAGTAGTCAAGTGCCCCTGAGTTCAATCCCTGGTACACCCCCCCCACACACAAAAATAAAAGCAAACATAAGAGAATTACTGTTGACAAGATAAACAAATTATTTTTGTTTTTTCAAACTCTCTGGAAGAGGTGTTAACATCTGGAAAAAGCAAATAAATGCACTACTGGACCCAGGGCTGAAAGGCCCTCCTGACAGGCATGAAAGTAGAAAGACTGCTCACGACCCCGACTTAGAACACAACTCATCCAGAACAAGTCTACGAAGAGTCACCATGGTTGATTTGTCTATCCTACCATTTGTCTGGAAACCCAAGGAAATGTGTTCAAAACTAATCTAAAATATCATAAATACATCCTGTCTTTCCCAGTGGTTACAATTTGCTAACATGCTCCTTTTTAGTTCATTTAAAATCTTAGATGAGGCTATAATTATTTATTTTAGTTGTAGGTGGACACAATAACTTTATTTTATTTATTTACTTTTATGTGATGCTGAGGATAGAACCCAGTGCCTCACGTGTGCCAGGCAAGTGCTCCACTACTGAGCCCCAGCCCCAGCCCAGAACTTCACTCTTTTGTAAACACAGAGACCCAGCTGGGTGCAGTGGCACATGCCTGTAATCCCAGCGACTTTGGAAGCTGAGGCAGGAGGATCACAAGTTCAATATCAGCCTCAGCAACTTAGTGAAATGCTGTCTCAAGATAAAAATGGCTGAAATGTGATTCAGGGGTACAGTGCCCCTGGGTTCAATCCCTAGTACCAACAAAAAGCAAAAACACTCACAGAGACCCAGGTCCCTAAAAGTTCTTTTCTTCTGTTCTTTGACAAAATCTGAGCCTCTGTAGTTGAAGATTATGAAAGGCAAAACAACATGAGCTGAAGAGAGGAAATGAATCTCAGGTTCTAGGGTGCATCCCAACAGGGAACACTGTCAACACACCACCTACATAAAGGGCCACGCCACTCTTCCACGAGTTCCACAGAACTGTCAGATTGCTCCGGAAGGGATGACTGTGCCAGCCAGTTTCTTACTGTGTATCAAAATGCAAGTATGCAACACCTCACTGTAATGCTTCACTCTTGGGCCAGCTCCCTGACTGATTTAAAGGCAGTGTTGGTGGCTTTTGCCTTATTCTGAAATTTGGGAGCATGCATGGTTTATATCACATGTGGACAGTGTGACCTACTTCTGACTTGAACACACAGGGTTAGTTCCCTGATGGCTCTCCCTACTCCTGACTGAAAGTGCTCACATTCAACAGTGTCACCAATGGTACTTTTCATAACTGGCACATGTCACCTTTGAAACAGATGAGTTAAGTAAGTATTTAATGATGTACTCTGGCCAGGTGAGGTGGCTGGTACCTAGAGTCCCAGCTACTAGAGAGGCTGAGGCAGAAGGATCAATTGAGCCCATGAATTTGTGGACAGCAGACAACAGAGTGACACCACACTTCTTAAAAAAAAAAAAAAAAGTACTCTGAATTATCTGAATTTTAGGGCTACTCCTAATTTATAGAAATAGAATAATAAAAAATTCACATTATAGAAATAATTATCTTTCAATTTGGACAAACTGCCTCAACTTGAAAACTAAGCACAGGAAAACAGCTTCCTTTAAAAATAGGAAGTCAAAAAGGTGAGGGATTTCTTAAAAGCTTGTAGCAAAGTATTTTTTTGCTCAAACTTTTATCTCCATTCTCAGGATTGGTTAACTAATTCCCAAAACACACAGCAAGGAAATAAATATAGTGGTAAAGTTGACACCTTACCTGAAGCTCCTGTCTTCCAATGACCTGGTTGCCCACCTGTCTAGAACAAACGTACTGCTCATAACTGGCCCATATCACTCACCTCTCCAAATCCACCTTTTCCTAGAACTCTGTAATGTCTAAATGTCTTCTTAGTTACTGGTTGCCTAATCAATTAAAAAAAAGGTTTCAGGTCTTATATCATACATGATGTTATTTTAAAACACAGAAGCCTAGCAGCTCCCAGGCCAGCCATATTTGGTGACCAACTGTGCTCCCCAGGAAAGCTCAGAACCAAGGCATCAGGGCTTTAGCACCGAGGCGCTCCCTCTTGGGAACTGCATTCATAGAGACAAGTGTAATTTAGATTTGTTGAAAACACTAATGCAAGATGCAGAGCAGTCCAGTCATCCTTTCTAACTGAAGACAGGTCTGCAAGCAGCCCACACTAGGAAATACTCATGTTTAAACTCATGGCACTATCTCAGGCATACCTCTGAACCTGCCAGAGAGCTGCTAGGGAAAATGCATAAACATAGCACATTGTCCTCTGAATAAAGAACCTCAAAAACATTTATACCCAATGTTCCAAAAGAAGCATGTGAACTGCAACTGGAAAACAATAATCTCAGTAACAATAACAGTGATCATAATAGCACTGTCAGGGCACTAATTCTGTGTGCCCAAACTGGGCTAAACATTTCACATGCATTTCCCAGATGATTCTAACAATAGCCCAACAGGGCAAGTTCTGAAGCTCACAATGGTTAAGTTACTTGCCTGAGGTCACAGCTAGCAAGAGGCTGAGCAGGAGCCTAGATTGCAGTTTCAACCATCATATTATATTATTATAAGTCTAGGATGTTTTATTTTCTAACCACTGTACCAACAGGACTGCTACTTTAAAAAGTGAAACTAGAGTTCATTGACTCAAAAGAAATTATGTAATATTATACCTGTTAATAATTTCTGTGTAAAAATGCCATATATAACTCAGAATTTACAGTAGTGTTTTGACAGATAGAAAAGTAGACCTCAATCAGTACGCATTATTAGAAGTAATACTTGTTTCTATTGAGTTTTAAATTAAAACATACCTTTCTAACCACTTCCATTGCAGAAATTGGGAAAAATAAGGGCTTTCTTGATATTCTTCAAATGGATCTTTACTCAAATAGTTATGGACAACTCTAGAAAAAGAGTTTATGTAATTATATACATTTGTTGTGTAAAAACATGAAAACATCTATGTCTCAGTACACTAACACAGAATATAGAACGGTCCATCATTATACACAATTCAGTATACAATTGCTATTACAGAAATTCACAATGAATTCCAGTGCTATCACTGAAAATAGGAAGAATTTAAAAGACATGAAATCACTTTACCCTCCCATCTTAAGTCATTTTTTTCTTGCATATATGGACATAGGAAAAATAATAACAATAAAAAAAATATACTATTAGTAAGACAAGAGTTTAAAATGCATTCAAGGTGTGTGCATGTATGTGTTTCATGCACAATTTACAAAAGTCAAACCTTTTGTAAATAAGACTAAAGTGGGCCGGAGTCAGGGCATACTCCTGTAAGCCCAGCTACTTGGGAGGCTGAGCCAGGAGGATGGCAAGTTTGAGGCTAGTCTGAGCAACTCAGACCCATCTTGAAAGAAAAGAAATTTAAAAAGGGGCTCAGGATTTAGCTCAGTGGTAAAGTGCCTCTGGATTCATTCCCCAGGACTTGAAAAAAACAAAAAACAAAAAAAGAGCCACAACATTAAAGCAAGCAAATATCAGAATGATTATAGTCATTTGGTAGAAAATGTTAATATGTGACACATCTGAAACTGAATATAAAATACCCAATAAATTACTTTAGGCTACACATTTCTTTTTTCCTTTCTTCCTTATCGTTGTTATTATTTGTTGTTGGTTGTGGTGCCTGAACCCAGGGCCTCATACATGCTTAGCAAGTGCTCTACCACTGGGCCACATCCCCAAACCTTCTTGAAGAAATTTTATGAGATTAGTCATGCCTCTTAGATTTTATTTACAATTTAGTTATAGAAATAATAAAATTTTTACTTAGAGTAGACCTTAGTAATAGATGCCCTTAATAAAATAAATTATTTGTTGAATGAATAAATGAGCAAATTCAACTCCCTGAGTTTTGGTGCCCACTTGCAACATCAATGTAAGACCGATGTAAGATAAGGTTTTGAAAACTCTTTGGGCATTAAAAATACATAGGAAAAGATCTTAAAAGCGGTCATGAGTCACTTAGCAATGTGCCCACACTCTGATGTTATTTCATCATCATCTGAATACCATCAAGCGTGCTTACACAAAATGAGATGGCATTCTTCAAGTCAGTGCAGAGATGTCCAGAGCTATCCCAGGGCTGCTAGGACACAGTCTCCACCACATGACCCTCTTCAGCACCACTCACATATATGTCATCATCACCCCTTAGTCATTCCTTCTAGGGAAAGTGGTCATTTTAATTTGGAAAATACTCTTATAAGAACTTGTCCATGCAGAGAAGACTCCTGTCAGTCCTCTGTCCTGGGTATACCCACAGACAATATGCTTGGGGATGGGCATGAACCTCTTACCTAGTGCATTCCTCAAAGACATCTTTGGAGGGGTTCTGTTTCAGACTCCATCTACAGTGCCTCACAATATCTGGAGGTATTTCTGGTAAAAGGGCTTCTTTCTTCTCAATATAGCACAAACCAAACACATAACAATTAGTAATTTCACAGCTGACCAATTGTAAGAAGAACCTACAAGCCTACTATTAAAAAGTGAAAACATAAAGTGTATGAAATAACAAATCCCCCACCCCAGTCCTGCTCTCCAGAGTTCAGCCTGCTGCCTGCCTTTTCAGACCCATTCCTCTGCACTCCAGATATGTCCAGAATGAGGGCTAGGGGGTGCGGCTCAGTGGCAGGCACTTACCTCATCAGCGTGAGAACCTGGGTTCAATCCCCAGCCCCTAAGAAAAAAATTCAGAATGGAAAACAGAGCCTTGAAGAAGAATATGCATTACTCACATTAGCCCAAGGTGGAAACAATCCGGGTTTCCACAAATGGATGAATAAAATGTGGCATATGCATGCAGCCTTAAAAAGGAAGGACTTTCAAATGTTGGGCTATAGCTCAGTGGCAGAACTCTTGCTGAGTATGCATGAGGGCCTGGGCTCAACGCCCAGGACCACACAAAGAAAGAGCATTCTGACACATGCTACAATATGATGAATCTTGACAAAATCCTGCTCACTCAAATAAGTGACGAAAAGACTAACACTATATGATTTCATATGTAAGATGACCATGGTAGTCAAAATGACAGAGACAGCAAGCAGAGGGGTGATGATATCAGGGTTTTGCTATGTTGCCCAAGCTGGCCTCAAGTTTAGAGACTCAAGCGATCCTCCTACCTGGCCTCTCAAATAGCTAGAGCTACAGGAGCATGGCACCTCACCGGCTCAGAAAGGATCACTAATATCTTTTTGTTTTTTGTGGTACTAGAATTGAACCCAGGGGCACTCTGAGCTGTATCCTCAGTCCTTTTTTATTTTTTAAGCATTAATATAGAGTCTTTAAATAATAGATATCTTTATTTATTTTTATGTGGTGCTACGTTTCGAACCCAGTGCCTCACACATGCAAGGCAAATGATCTACCACTGAGCTACAACCCCAGTCCCTTAATATAAAATTTTAAATCCACATAAATACAGTTATCTCATACTAAACAAAGGCACCAAAAACATATACTGGAGAAAGGATAGCCTCTTCAACAAATGGTGCTCAGAAACTGGAAATCCAAATGCAGTGAAATGAAATTAAACCTGTCTCTCACCATGCACAAAACTCAACTCAAAGTGGATCAAGGACCTGAACATTATTACCAGAGAACCTGCACATAATAGAAGACCAGAGACTAGAGAACCTGCACCTAATAGAAGAAAAAACAGGCTCAAATCTCCATCACGTCAGATTAGGCCCCAACTTCCTTAAAAAGACTCTTAAAGCACAAGAAATAAAATCAAGAATTAATAAATGGGATGGATTCAAACTAAAAAACTTCTTCTCAGCAAAACAAACATCATTGAGCTGAACAGAGAGCATACAGTGTGGGAGCAGGTTTTTGCCACACACATACCAGACGGTGCACTAATCTCCAGGATATATAAAGAACTCAAAAGACATGGGCTGGGGATATGGCTCAAGCGGTAGCGCGCTCGCCTGGCATGCGTGCGGCCCGGGTTCGATCCTCAGCACCACATACAAACAAAGATGTTGTGTCCGCCGAAAATTAAAAAATAAATATTAAAATTCTCTCTCTCTCTCTCTCTAAAAAAAAAAAAAAGACTTAATACCCCCCAAACAACCCAAACAATAAATAGGCTAAGGAACTGAACAGACACTTCTCAGAAGAAGACACACCTGCAATCAATAAATATATGAAAAAGTATTCAATATCTTTAGTAATCAGATAAATGCAAATCAAAACTACTCTCTAAGATATCATCTCACCCCAGTCAGAATGGCAGCTATCAAGAATACAAGTGATAATAAGTGTTGGTGAGGGTGTGGGGAGAAAGGCAACCTCATACATTGCTGGTGGGACTGCAAATTGGTGCAACCAATCTGGAAAGCAGTGTGGTAATTCCTCAGAAAACTTGGAATGGAACCATCATTTGACCTAGTTATCCCACTCCTCAGTCTATACCCAAAGGACTTAAAATCAGCATACTATAGTGACATAGCCACACCAATGTCTATAGCAGCTAAATTCACAATAGCTAAACTGTAAAACCAACCTAGATGTCCATCAGTAGATGAATGAATAAAGAAACTGTGGTACATATACACAGTGGAATATTAGTCAGCATTAAAAGAGAATAATATGGTGGCATTTGCAGGTAAATGGATGGAGCTGGAGAACATTATATTAAGCGAAGTAAGCCAATCCCCAAACCCTAAAGGCTGGATGTTTTCTCTGATTAGTGGATGCTGATCTATGATAGGGGGCAGGGCATGGGAAGAATGGAGGTTCTTTGGATAGGGCAAAGGGGAGGCTGAGGAGGGTTTATGAGGGTAGGAAAGACAGCAAAGGAGATGGACATTATTACCCTAGGTACATGTATGATGCACAAATGGTGTGACTCTACACCATGTACAACTAGAGAATTGAAATGTTGTGCTCCATTTGTGTATGATGAATTAAAATGCATTCATCTGTTGTATACAACTAAGTAGAACAAATTAAAAAAGACTGTTCAATGATTAACTTCAAATAAAGACCATTTTTGATCTTAGAAACGCTTTACATTAATAGATATTCATTCCCAAAAAAAGGAACAGCCATGCCTCCCAAATCGAGGAACAGAGAGATAAGGTAAGCTAATGCATAGCACAGCAAGTTACCATGCAGTGCAACTGGTCTGAGGCTGCACACAGCCAAGTAGGACTTCTCGAGCTTTAATTGAAATGGGTTGTGTTTTTATTGTTGAGTTGTAAGAGTCCTTAATATACCTGAATATTAGAAAGCTGTATAGTTTTTAGTTCTTACATTTAGATCTTTATCTATATGGCATTAATTATTTATGGTTTGAGGTAAGGGTCCAATCTCATTTTCAACAATATCCAGTTGTTCCGGATCCAATTGTTGAAAAGACTCTTCTTCTGCTCACTGAACTGTCTTGGCACCCATATCAGAAGCCCCGTGACTATAAATGTATAGGTTTATTTCTGGACTCTCAATTCTATGCCATTGACTTGTATGTCTATTCTTATCTAAGTACCTCATTGTCTTGATTATTGTAGCTTTGCATTAAGTTTTGAAATTAAAAAGTGTGACTCCTGTTTTTTTTCAAGAATATTAAAACTATTCTGTGTCCTTTGAATGTTCATATGAATTCAAAATTTTAAAAAAATCAGCTTCCTAATTTCTACAAAATATTGATAGGGGTTGTACTGAACCTTGAAAGAACAAGGTCATTGGGGTTCTGACTGTCCTAGTTTCCGTAGGAAGCCTATAGCCAGGGAATCCTCTGACCTTCTGGGCATACAAATCAAAGATTGACAGAGCCTTGGGTCCTTGTTCCTGGCCGGCCGTAACAATTAAGAACCCAGGGTGTGGATTAAGGTGGATGGGAGCAAGGTTGACTTTCTCCTTGACACCAGGGCTACTTTCTCAGTCCTGACAGAATTCTGGGGGCAAACAGTGCCGTCTCTCTCTCCTATTGTCGGGGTAGGAGGAAGGACCATCTATCCAAAAAAGATTCCCCTATTACTCTGTTCCATAGACAACTTCCCAGTCTCTCAGACGTTTGTAGTTATGCCTCAATGTCCAGCTCCTTTGCTCGGCCGAGATATTCTCTCTAAATTTAATACAACAATCAACATCCAGGCTCCTGGCATCAATCAGGCCCCAGAATCGGCCTGTTCATCTTTTCGGGCCCTTTTGGCAGAAGACTGGCCATTCTGCTCCACTTGTGAGACTGACATGAAAAAGGATCCCTTCCCTACGAACCTGGTTGACCCAATTGTATGGGATACCCACACCCCCTCCACGGTTTCCTGCCCACCAGTTAACATTCATCTCAAAGATCCTAACACCTTCCCCAATCAGGCTCAATATCCCCTGTCCACAAAAGCTCTTCTGGGCCTACAACCTATTATTCAGGACCTTCTTAGCAAGAGGTACCTCCGTCCTGCTCATTCCCCTTACAATACTCCCATACTAGTGGAAGAAAGCCCAATGGGTCCTATCGCTTAGTTCAGGCTTAGACTCATCAACACCTCCGTTAGGCCCATACATCCTTTGGTTCCCAACCCATACACCCTGCTGTTTCAGATCCCCCACACTGCCACCCACTTCTCGGCCATAGATTTAAAGGATGCTTTCTTCTCCATTCCCCTTGCCCCCGAATCACAAGATCTTTACCTGGACAGATCCCACCACCAGACATTCTCCACAACTAACCTGGACTGTCCTTCCTCAGGGATTTCGAGATAGTCCACACCTCTCTGGATAAACCTTGGCCTCCAACCTCCAATTTTTTCACCCCCAGTGCCCCAAATCCACCCTCTTGCAATATGTTGATGATCTTCTCCTCTGTAGCCCGTCCAAAGGGCACTCAACAGATGACACAGTTCTCCTACTTAATTTCTTGGCCTTAAAGGGATATCGGGCCTCTCCACAAAAGGCCCAAATAGCATGTAAAGAGGTCACTATCTAGGGTTCTCTATTTCTCAAGGGAAAAAGGCCATTACAGTAGACAGAAAACAACTCACTGGGTCTAAAGACACTGAAGACCAAAGATGACTCTCCTTCTTGGGTTTGGCTGGGTACTTCAGGGCCTGGATTACTTTTGAATTTCTCCCTCCTCGCCAGGCCACTATATAATCTAGCCGAGGGCCCCCAAGATGAACCCCTACCCTCAGCAGTAGGGAAGCCCTTTACAAAAAGGCCCTCCTCTGGGCACCCGCCCTGCATCTCCCCGACCTCTCCTGACCCTTCACCCTCTATGTACATGAAAAACAGGGGCAAAGTCTGGGCATTCTGGGTCAGGAATATGGCCCCACATTTGCACCAGTGGCCTACCTATCCAAACAGATCGACCCCACCATCAGGGCTAGCCCCCATGCCTCAGAGCCCTAGCAGCGGCCCATGACCTCCAGAAAGAAGCACACAAGCTTACCTTTGCCTCCCCGCTAACCATCTCATCTCCTCACTAGACGGTGAGGATTTCCTCACTTTCAAGGGGCTACAGTCACTTCCTCCTTCCAGGGTTCTATCCCTCCTTGTCTCATTCCTTGAAAATCCCTCCATCTCTTTTCAGTCCTGCTCTTCATTAAACACTGCCTTCCTCCTCCCATCTTCTCCCTCACAAGATCCTCTCCACAAATGCCTGGAGGTATTAGAGACGATTTTACCCTGCCCTACCACCATTTCTGAGGGACTCCTGCCCTCTTTGGACCTGTCTGGTTCTCAGATGGTAGCTCCTTTATACACGAAGGGGTTAAAGTGGCGGGATATGCTGTCCTTTCCCTCTCATCCATCATAGAGGCCAAACCTCTCCCACCCAATACCACCAACCAACAAGCCTTGATCGTTCTTTCAAACCTGTATATCCATTTGGAGAGTATTGCCATGTTAACAATATTAAGACTTTTGATCCATGAACATGGAATATTTATCCATTCATTTAGATCATCTGTAATTTTTCAATGATTTGTGGTTTTAGTAAGCAAATGTTTCATTTTGTTATATTTATTCTTAAATATTTTTGATGAAAATATAAATGGAATTTCTTAATTTAGTTTTTGGGATTTTAATTGCTAGTGTACAAGAATACAGTAGAATTTTGGACAGTGGTCTAGTATCCTGCAATCATTACAGACTCATTTATTAGCTCTAGTATCTTTTTCTTTATGTGTGTACAATGGGATATCCTGTCACAGCTTCATTCAATAGACGTGGTGAGAACTGGAAAGCTCATCTTGTTCCTAATCTTAGAGTAGAACACCTGATCTTTTTAAATTTTTTTAAATTGCAGATGGACACAATTATCTTTATTTTATTTATTTATTTTTATGTGGTACTGAGGATCGAACCCAGTACCTCACACATTCAAGGCAAACACTCTACCACTGAGCCCCAGCCCCAGCCCTAGAGCATACAGTCTGTCACCCTGAAGTAAGATGTTAGCTGAGGGTATTTCATAGATATCCTTTACCAGGCCAAGGAAGTTCCATTCCATTCCTAGTTTGTTGAATACTTTTATTACCAAAGAATATAGATTTTGTCAAATGCTTTTTCTGTGTCTATCACAATACCTGTAACAATAATACAATATACCAGAGGAGAAGATCATTTTTGGCTATTGAACCAATTTTGTATTCCCAACAAAATCCAACTGTTTTTTGTCATGATTCCTTTTAATTGTACATTCAAACCTGGATGAATTTTAATATCTGAGAAACCTGATATGAAAACTAAGAAAACTAAGAATGAGTGATAGGATACAAGAACGAAAACACACAGTGTTCTTACGTTTGGTATTTTATATATTCTAGGTTTCTGAAATTTGAATAAATGACCTTAAGAAGTTCCCATTTTTAGTATGTAAAAGCAATAGATTTTGTTCTTATTGTTGTTAAAGAAAAGATCAGCAAAGACCAACTACAATGATGACCAAGTACAAGGGCAAGGCATCAGGTGGAGACGAGGAAGAGTGGCAGTTCCTAGGCTGATGGTAAATAAAGGAAGAGAAACAGTGTATGAACATCTCTCACTACCATCAAGTGCTATGGTTTGAATGTCCAACCTCTACAAAACTCATGGTGAAACTTAACTGCCATTGTGACAGTACTGGGACATGGGACTTTTAAGAGGTATGCAGCTCCTGGATGGATTAATGCCCTCTGGTAAGTAGGTGCATCCCTTTCTGCATTTGCTCTCTTTGCCTTTCTGCCATGTGATGCCACAGTAAGGCCACTGCCAGATTCTGGTACCTTGATATTGGATTTCCCAACCTCTATATCTATAAATTCATTATAATTGTCACATTTGCAAGACTTAGAGTGTTCATGAAATGTCATTACTGTTTTCCTTCCAGAATCTAGGACTTCTAACAGCCTACAAAACAGAAGCCACAGGAAAGGAAACAGGAACTTGGCAAGTCAGGCTAGCACAGCAGCCCATGCCTGTAATCCCAACTATCAGGGAGGCTGACGCAAGAGGATCACAAGTTCAAGCTCAGCCTGGGCAATTTAGTGACGACCACATCTCAAAAAAAAATTTTTTTTAAATAACCTTTTTTTTTTTTAACCTTTATTTTATTTTTATGTGGTTCCGGGGATCGAACCCAGTGCCTCATGCATGCTAGGCAAGCACCATACCACTGAGCCACAACCTCGGCCCCACTCTCAAAATTAAAAAGTGGGTGTGGGGCTGGGGATGTAGTCAATGGTAGAGCCTCCCTGGGTTCAATCCCCAGTACCACAAACCCAAATTTAAAAAAAGAGAGAATATTGTGAGTTGTTTTAGTCAGTTTTTTCCTGCTGTGACTGAAAGACCCAACCAGAATAACTGTAGAGGAAGAAAAGTTTATTTGGGGGCTCACAGTTTCAGAGGTCTCAATCCAGAGACAGCAGCTCCATTCCTTGAGGCTCAAGGTGAGCGTGAACAACATGGCAGAAGAGAGTGGCAGAGGGAAACAGTTCACATGATGATCAGGAAGCAGAGAGACTCCATTCACCAGATAGAAACACCCACCCCAAAGCCACCCTCAGTGCCTCAGTCCTCCATCCACACCCCACTTGCCTTCCATTACCACTTCATCAATCCTACTAGGTGATTAATTCATCGACTGAGTTAAGGCTCTCAAAACCGAACCATTTCTCCTCTAAACCCTCTCGCAGTGTCTCACACGTGAGCTTTTGGGAGACACCTCACATCCAAACCATAACATGAGTCAAAAAGAATAAAAACTAAGACCTGTTAAGGCTTTTAGGAAAAAATGTTATTTGTACTCCAGAGAAGCAAATAAAACTCTAATTCTACATTCTGGTTGAAGAAACATATAAAGTTTCGATTTGTTGAATCATTTTTTAAGGGATTTAATTGTTAATTCATTACTCAATCAAACAAAACCACAGAAAAGAAAGATTTGAAAGAAATTAATACATTTAACATATTTGTAATATCAAAGTAAAAATAGTTATGCACTTTCATTACTTAAGTAAGTTATTTATAAATCTTTATTCTAATGAAGAAAACACCTCATTATTGAAGAATCTCTCTAAGATTGATAGTCCACAGTCTCTTCGTTCCTCCTCAATGGCAACTTCATACTCTGTCTGATTAGAGAGACGGGAGAAAAGAAAAATGTAAGTTGTGCTTCATCATAATATTTTCATATTTCAAATTCTGACTTACGGAATTGACTTGATACCCTCAGAAACAGACAGCAGTTCTACTGATCAAGTATCTCTAGCTATTCTTTGGGAGTCTAAGGGTCAGGAGGGAGTGAAACTGTCAATTATTATTTTGGGGGGCACTAGGGATATAATCCAGAGCCTTGCACATGCTAAGCATATGCTCTATCACTGCACTATACTCCCAGCTTTAAAACGTCATTTTTAAAAGGGGGTTAATAAAGTAGTAGAGCAACACTCTTCATAATACTCTCTTAAGATCTATTATATTTTAACCCATTCATTGTAGCTAAATAAATATGGACTAGACAATAACATTTTAGAAATTTCTAAGAGCCCCTTGAAAAGCTGTCTCCACAGCTCCCAGGGGAGTCAGAAATGGTGATACCAAAGTAAGAATCCCCTTTACCAGGAGTCAGAGGAGGGACCATAGAGCACATAATGCCATCCAGCTGTTGTTAGAGAAAAAGAAATCACTTCATCATCTAGCTTCTGAAAACTCTGGAGGACTTTCCAAGCTTGGTGTGTCCTTAAAAAATGGGAATAGAGCCGGGCATGGTGGTGCATTCCTATGATCCTAGTGGCTCAGGAGGCTGAGACAGGAGGATTGCAAGTTCAAAGCCAGCCTCAGCAATGGCAAGGCACTAAGCAACTCAGTGAGACCCTGTCTCTAAATACAATAGAGAATAGGGCTGGGCTGTGGCTCCGGGGTCCAGTGCCCCTGAGTTCAATCAATCCCCAGTACCCTCCCGCCAAAATGGGGATGGAACTAAATTGTATCCTGTGTGAGGCTTAACCCCTTACCAGAGAACAATCTAGCCTGAACATCCCAATAGCTCTACGAGGCAGAGGCTGGTGGGAGGGGCAAGCTGCTCAGGGCTGGCTCTATTTATGTGAGCAGGTGCTCTTCAAGTACAAAAAGCTCACCATGGCGGGAGTTCTTCAGCTAGTATATTTTTAGTTCTATAGCTTCTTTATTTAGTTTTTGTTTAAATGATGTATCCAGTGAGGAGAGAAGTATGTTAAAGTCACCCTTTATTATTGGATTTTGAGCTCTTCGATTCTTGAAGTTGAGAGGGGTTTGATGTATGTATATGCTCCATTGTTTGGGGCAAAAATATTTACAATTATTATATCTTCTCAATGTATAATTCCCGTAAGCAGTATGAAATGGCCTTCTTTGACCCTTCCAATCAACTATGACTTGAAGTCCACTTTATCTGAGGATAGATACTCCTGCTTGTTTACAAGATCCATGTGAGTGAAATGTTTTCTCCCATTCTTTTACCTTCAGTCTGTGGATGTCTTTGCCTATGAAGACTCTCTTGCAGATTTTTTAATATTTTATTTTTTAGTTGAATACAATATCTTTATTTATTCATTTTTATGTGGTGCTGAGGATCGAATCCAGGGCCTCACACATGCTAGGCGAGTGCTCTACCACTGAGCTAGGACCCCAGCCCTAGTTGTGAATTCTTTTAACATTTATTTAACATGGAAGGCTTTATTTAATCGTCAATTCTGAAGTTTAATTTTGCTGGCTATAGTATTCTTGGCTGTTATCCATTTTCTTTCAGAGCTTGATATATATTATTCCACGACCTCCTAGCTTTGAGTGTCTGGGTTGAGAAATCAGCTCAGATCTGGATTGGTTTCCCTCTAAATGTGACTTTTCATTTTTCTCTGGTAGCCTTTAAAATTCTATCCTAATTCTGTATGTTAGGTATTTTCAATAATAATGTGCCTTGGTGTGGATCTGTTGTAATTCTGTGTATTTGGAGTCCTATAAACATCCTGCATTATCTGATTTTTTTTTTTCATTCTTTAGGTTTGGGAAATTTTCTGATTTGATTTCATTGAAAAAGTTGTGCATTCCTTTGGTTTGTATCTATGAGCCTTCATCCCAATAAATCTTAAATTTGGTCTTTTCAGATTATCCCATATTTCTTGGAAGTTCTGTTCACAGTTTCTTAACCTCTTTTCTCCATGGTCAACATTATTTTCATGATTATATATTTTGTCTTCATTGCCTGAAACTCTGTCTTCAAGTGGTATAATCTGTTGGTGATGCTTTCTATTAAATTTTTAACTTGGTTTACTGATTCCTTCATTTTGAGGATTTCTACTTGATTTTTTTTCAGACTCTCTTTATTGAAGTGATCTTTCACTTCTTGTATTTTCTCTTGGATATCATTCCTTATATCATCCCTCACCTTACATTCTAAACTCCTTCTCTTGACATTTCTTCCACTGTGGTTGCAATGGATTCTTTTATTGAAGTCTCTTGGTTTGTATGGAAAGATTCATTCCTTTGTTTTTTCATGTTGTTTATATGTCTAACCATCTAACAACATGGATCTGAAGCAGTAGAATTCCTATCCTGTGGACTTACAGTGTACCTGAAGGTTTTCAGTATCTCCCTGTTTAGGGGGTGACAAATAATAATAACAACCAATGCAAACAATATACATAACATTAAACCAAACAGTTCCTACTATGACATCTACAATGTTGTCACAATGAACAGAAATGACATTACTGCCATCAATAAAAACAATAAGTTTGCAAAATGGTTTACAATTTCAAATGGTGAATAGGGAGAGAACAGAAGTAATATAGGATGTGATGATTATGAGGGAGAAGAAGAGAAAATAGAAGTTAAAAAAATTGAAGGAAGCATGAAGGAGAGAACAACAGAGATTGGCTATTAGCAGAAGAAAAGAGAGAATCATGGGAAACAAGTGAGAGAAAAAATATATAAAGTAAAAAATTGAAAAATTAAAAATTGAAAAACAATATAAAACAAAACTGAAATATACTAATCAAAATTCTTAGTCCTCAAAAAACTGATCCATGAAAAATAACTGGTTTCAAAAATGCTAGAAATGAGAAAAGAAAAAAATATGAATATGTATAAATGTCCATGAACCATAAAGGTCACAATTAAGCAGAGAAAAGAAAAAAATATATATCAAAGTAAAGTCAAAAGAATTGTTTCTGTTGGAATCTAAAATATTCTCAGCTTCCCTTCTCAAAAGTTTTAGGTGGGGTGTCTGAAGTATGATGCTTGCCCCTTCCTGCACTCATACACGCAGCTCCTGTTAGGGCACTGGAGTGAGAGGTAATCCCGTATGCGGAACTCTTGGAGACAGGGTTTAGGTTTAGGTAGGCTCCAGGCTCTTTGCCGAATGTCAATGGGTCAGGAGATTCTAAATCAGCACACCCTCAGGGCCCAGGAATAGACTGTCCACACTATTAGACTGCACTCCAGGATCTACCCTGGGTTCCACTTGCGTGATTCCACCTTTGGACGTCAAGTTTCCTGGTCTCAGATTCAGTCTCCAAACTCAGTCTCTCCTGCCCTTTCAAATTCCTGGCCAGGTGCATCTCTCCCAGCCAGTCCTGCAAGCAGTCGGATTAGAGAGGGAGGGATAGAGCTGGGTAGGTTTCCATAACCAGTAGTCCCCTGTGTAAACCTCTTTTCACGTTTGATTTTCTCCTGGTCACTTAGGCACACTCTGTTGTGCAATGTGGGTTTGCCAGGCTATATTTTGGGCCAGCCTTGATTTGCTAGGACTTGGCTCCCTCAACTGCTGGTCCCAGCATCGCAACTGTAAAATGGTTCCTCCTTCTGTCCTCTGCACCCCACCAGGAGAGATGTGGTTTCTTTCCTGTGCAAGGCTATTGTGTAGCGTGCCCTTCAGTTTAGTTGGGCAGTGTCTTTGATCTCAAACTCTGTACCCAGACTTGCCTAAGTCCTCCTAAAGATGTGGTTCCATTAGTTCCCTTATCTCTCCACTGTGCTCATGAAAGGACCACTTTGGCTGGCACCTCTAGCTACAGTAGTGGCTGTGGTGCTGGAGATTTCTTCCTTAATTTATTATATACAACCTCTTGAGTTCCCAGTCTGCTTTGAGTGTCAAGTATTAAACTCCAGTAAAGTCTCCCCCTGCTTTTTTTCGTTCACCCACCTTGCTGAGAAAGCTGCCTGTCTGCTTTCTTGGTTTCACACCACAGAGTAGTTAGGAAAGCAACCTGCTCTAATTCTGCCATCTTGAAATCTCTTTCAGCTAGTAGACTCTTGAACATTCTGCATCACTGAATCACCAGGGACTTACTTGCTCTGCAATCCACTTTTGGGACTGGGGGAAACTCCAAAGGAAGTACTGAGTAGGTGGCCCTCTAGGAAGTGGGGTCCCTTTGGGGAAAAGGTGATGTACACGAGCTTGCAGCCCCTTCCTGCACTCATACACGCAGCTCCTGTTAGGGCACACAGCACTTCACCAGGAATGCTGCTGGTCAGACCCGTTTCATTCTCTGAAGTGAACAGCCTCCAGCTGATATTACAAGTCCCTGAGGCTTTGGGGGAAGGTTTAGGTAGAATGCCTTTCCTCTGATTTCGATCCTGGACATGAAGCTGGGAGTCCTAACAAGGTTCTGGGAGGGACTCTCCAGCAGACCACAGTCTCAACTCTCCAGTTCCACAAATCACTTTTGCTTTTTAATTCTTATTTTCTTCAACCACACACAAGATTCTCCTTCACCTACTTTAGGCAGCTGTTTAATCATTTATACCAATGTTCTGGAAGAGGGAACAGAAGTTGAACTTTTCCTGGTGATTAAGCATTTTTCTCCCTTACTTCAGTTGACTCAATATAAGGGAGATTATCCTACATATCCTGGTGGGTCTCACCCAAACTGTTGAAAAGAGCTAAGAGCAGAGCTGAGGCTTCTCTGAAGAAATTCTGCCTAAGGACAGCAGCTGTGTCCTATTTCTGGAGAGTTACATCATGTCCTTCCTGATGGTCCATCCTATACATTTTGGACTTTCCTAGTCAGATCCACTGTCGTAAGCCAATGTCTTGTAATCAGTCTTTTCAAATCTACCTCCTAATGACTCTGGTTCTCTGGCTGAATCCTAA